TAATAAAATTAAATGAACTTTAATAATGGATGACGACCGAACTGTTTTGTTAGCTTCGTAATAATTATGTTGCCTGATGACGATGGTTTCTTCATAACTGAATCAGGTGTCACGTTTTTATGTAAAGCTTATAGCAAATAAACTATACACCGAATGAAACATTATTATGTATATATTCAGAAAAAATACTTTAAGTCGCTGTTTCTTGTAGAATCTTCATGGTCTATTCAGGTAGAAATTAAACGATCAGTTTTCTTAATAGAGTTCTGTACACGTCAAGCTGCTACTTGCGCAATGTTTTAGATTAGCTTRCTAAATGGCCGTTTCGTTCTTGTGTATTGATTTTGTCACCTGAAAMAGTCTAGAAATGTTTTTGCTTTACTGATTTTATCTGTTTTGATCCAGAATCAGCTGAAGGTTGGTTTAAATTAAAGCCCTGAAATAAAAAAAGTGTCAAGTCATCTTAGCAGGCTAAACCTTCTGTGGAGTCAGACATATTTAAGCAGTGAAGCACCAGAAATACCTTTAAAACTTAACTTTCTCTTTGTTTTCTCAGACTGTGATAATTTTTCTGCTTTTTGTTTAAATTTTTTGTATTTATCCAACCTTTACCTGCAGCCTCGCAGCAGTGATAAGAGATCAGAGCTGCTYCCTGCTGATTGGAGCAACAACAAGGAGCTGTACAGCCTGAGATACAAAGCCAACGACACAGACGCACAAATACTGRTGAAGGCCATCACTGTGGACTCGGCTCTGATCTTCAACCTGATGGTGAAACCCGACGATCAACCCTCTCTGTTACGCTGCTTTTTGTGAAACACGTGCAGATGTGAAACATGCTGTCGTTCTGCTTGTGTGTGCATCTCTAAAGGACTCCAGCACGCAGCAGGTGTTGGACCTAACGGTGAACATCAACGACCACGTCAACGCCGATCAGCTGCACACGTTTGACGGGTCAGTTTGAGATTTGTGTTTTAAAAAAAAACGTAGTCTCACGGACCACCGTCAGTGATCAGACTTTGCTCGTTGCAGTGTTTTCAGGGACGCAGACGGTTTGTCACAGAGCGTGAAGACTCAGCTGCTGCCGTCCCAGAAGAGGCAAACGGAACAGAAAGCGGAGAGGAAGAGCGGGAGAGACGAGGAAGAGGAGGCACAGAGGAGACGGGAAGAGGACAGCGACCCCCTCCGCATGCCCAGCAGACATCCCCACCAGGGAACCCGTCCTCACTGGTTTGTGTCTCAAACATCATCAGTCTGAGATTTATTCACAAACTGCCCCCAGAAAATTCATCACAATCCCGGGAAATGGAGGCTAATTAGTTTTAGATAAAACCTGCTCTGTTTGTGAACATGTTTTTTATTTTTTACAAAGTAGGACGTTTTTATGGCCTCTTATGTTTAAAGAGCGATTTGAAAAGTTAAAAATTAGAAATCAGTTTCGTTCTTTTTCCTGGATAAGTGAAAGCACGTTGTTGGAAAAATAACTGAGTTTGACGAGCTAAAGGACAAATTTTGAGGGAGTATTTTTTAAAGATTATGTTGTCCATAAAAACAGTAAAACCTGAGCTTCAGTTGGAGTGTGCAGACCAGGATGTCTTGTTTTTGCATTCTGCCTCAGATTTCTTTTTATAATAAAATCATTCCTGAAAACCTCCTCGCTGCACCAGAGTTGATAAAGTCCCGCTCGGCTTCTTTGGACTCGGGTTTCTTTGATGTGCTTGGCCTTAAATGATCCCTTTTACCTTCGGATAGTTGTTAAAATTCAATACCAGACGTGTCGCAGAAGTTACTGCTGGTTTTACTTTATTTCCTCTTTTAGATTTTTACTAATTCAGTTTAATTATCAGAGAAAGATTAAAGAGATTTGATGAGTTTTTTTGTTTGTTTTTTAGGCCTGACTCTTTAGATCCTCCATTTGCAGCCGGAGGAGCAGATCTGGATCCTTTAGGGTGAGCTGCATCCTTTCTCATTGCTTAAAATATTCTTTTTATTTTTTTTATTTTTGAGTTTTTATTGAAATGTTTTCACAGAAACGACGTCACTGGAAGCTTTCATGTAGATTTTTAAAAAATCTCCTGCTTCTTTTTAACTCAGATCTCAAGGTGGTGGTGGGATGATCGTCGACCCGCTGAGGTCCGGGTACCCTCGCTCCGGGTTCGACCCGTCCAGCGGCATACCCGACATCCTGCCTCCTGGAGCCGTGCCCCCGGGAGCTCGCTTCGACCCGTTTGGACCCGTTGGACGTCACAGACCAGGGTGAGACGTAGACTCAGTTACAGTGAGATCAAAGACTTGAGTCTTAATTGAACTAAAGTTATTACGCAGCAATGATGACATCACTCTGTGTGTTTTTTAGGCCAGACCCGGACCACATGCCCCCGCCTGGATATGATGACATGTTCATGTAGAACCCTGCTGACCTCTCCCCACAAAAAACTGATCCAGTTCAAAGAAACCTTGTTGTTTGTTCCGTGTTCTGAGGAGAGGGGCTTTGATTCTGATTTCTCTTATCCAATAATAAACAGAACARGCAGTTATTGATGTAAAGAAGACGTTCGGAGACTTCTTTGTTTTGAACCCACATCTAAAGTTGTGTAACCTTCACTGATTTAAATTAACCTCATTGTGAAGTCGAGTGGACTTCCATGAAAGCAAAATAAGTTTGATTTATAAAGAGTGAAAACAGCCGTTTTTATCTGCATCCTGTGGGTAAAGTTTACTGATAAAAGGAAGTTTATTTGGAATAATTTGTATTCCTGTTGGAAATAATGAATGATAGCTCTGTGGAGTTGTTTCTGTTTGGGTTGTTGGTTGAACAGTGTAGTTTAATAAATATTTTTTGCCAAAACTTCAATAAAAATGACTTTACACTGGGTTTTTTTCCTTTAACAAGATAGTTTTTAATGTCTTTATTTATTTATTTATTTAAATCACTTCCTGCTCAACAGGCTGTTATTTCCTCAGCAGGTGAAGCTGAGGGGAGGCTGCTGTTGGCAATCAGAAGAGAAATTTAAATAATGAGCAGAAAAAAAAAACACAACAGGAAGTGCTTTTATTTTTAGAATCTAAAACAGGAAGTGGTTGTCTTCAGGAGGCTGCAGTCACAAAGGTGGATTATTAACATTAAGATGATTTTATCCTTTTTTTGCCACTTCAGTAGAAAACAAAACTGAATGTTAGTTTCTTAATTTCTGCATCATCAGTGGCTTTTTTAATACTTTAGTAAAGAAGAAAAAGTAGAAGAGAAATATAAGAACAGTAAAGAGAGAAACAGAAATTATAGAACGTGAAATGAACACTAAAAACATACAGGACACCACACCCAACATCTGACCATCAGCAAATGAAGAGACCAAACACCCAGCAGCCGAACTTAAACAGATGTATGTACATACGTACATATATAAATAAATACACACATATACACATTCACACCTACGTACAATAATTATAACCTCGTTAATTAATATACACAAAACACTCACACCTATACACACACTTCAAGAAAATAAAACTAGGTGTTCAAGTTATATATGTATGTATATAT